GGTTTTTGTATTTGATGATTTTGTTTTCTAAAGGAATATTAAATTTAATAAATGTGTCAAGATCATTTGTTTCACTATTCTGGATCATTTTTATCCTAATAAATTAACCTGATACATTTACTTTACTTTAAATAAGCTATTTAGTGGTGTTGGTAAAAGGGTGGGAATACTGAATTTTCATAAGATTTCAAGTTAAAATTTACCTAGCAAAAAATGAAAACTTTTCAAATCTGAAGATATCACATGATTCTGCACATAGAACTACATCATTAATACCATGGGCCGATTTTTCAAACTCAAAAAAAAAAATCGCCTCCGTATGACACACCCTAGTACGGCATTGATATTATAACCCAACGAATTTCCCCAGGAACTAGCTGTCATGGTTTTGGGGTGGATCGGTGGTAGTAGGAGTGGATTATATTATATAAAGATAATAATATGTCGTATTTCTTATTTCTTACCGTAGAGTCCGATACCTTCACACTGATTACTTACAGGAGATTATGGCGTATCTACGTAGAAGTTCACTCCACCACTCGACATTCCATGATTTATACTTGATAAATGATGATTTAATGAATTCATTTAATTTTCAACATCCATCTAAGTTATTGGTTATACTATGTCATAACCAATCAGTCATTACCTTTAGTAATAATAAGATAGGATCACAGATACGGGCAGATAATTGCACTTACATTTATTTGTCAAGCTTCCATACAATGATTTACAATTTGCATGGATATATGATTTACTCACGTTCACGCTGTAATAAAATTAATCTTCTAAAACAGGGAATTTCCAACTTGGGGACACATGTGATTACTCTACTGTGGTATGACTTAACAGAGCCTTAATTCTTCAAGTGATACATTTACTGCCAGCCTGGATTGCTTTTGTTGCAACCAGGCTTCATCACAAGAACTTCTTCCCACGGCCATAACAACAAAAAGGTACTCTTGGGTTACCACACATAGTCTCGCGTCACTGACAGTCACTGTGGACGGTTGTCGCGGCAAGTAGAACTGGTAAGCGTGACTTGAATTAACCATTAGGTGCAATAGACCAGCCTGGATTGCTTTTGTCGCAACCAGGCTTCCACACGTGATATTTCCACGGGGATAACAAACCTAGGTTAACACACTTAGTCTCGTGTCGATCACGGTCACGGTAGACGGGTGTCGTGCAGGAGAACTCTGTAAGCGTGAATTAATTAACCATTTACTGTAGGTTTGATAGGCCAGCCTGGATTGCTCTTGTCGCAACCAGGCATCCACACGTGATATTTCCACGGGGATAACAACCTAGGTTAACACGCTTAGTCTCGTGTCGACGACGGTTCACAGGACGGAGTGCGGTGGAGGACTCTGTGTGGTGTGGTGTCCCGCCCCCCCTTCAGGAGGGAGAGAATGGAGACGACGTCTTAACTAACCCATGGCTCAGGGGATACTACTTAAAATGAGGTTTTTGGGTGTGAAGCGATGAACAGTACAACACTGTTTCACTGCTCACCCCCCTAAAGGCTGGCTGACATACACTAATGAAAAATACATGTCCCAGTTATGCCTCGCCGGGCGTCTTATCTCTGGTAAAACAAACTTTGGAGTTGGTTGCGTGGGTAAGCCTAACGCAACCCATGACACTGGTGTGAAGCGATGAACAGTACAACACTGTTTCACTGCCCACCCCCCTAAAGGCTGGCTAACATACACTAATGGAAAATACATGTCCCAGTTATGCCTCGCCGGGCGTCTTATCTCTGGTAAAACAAACTTTGGAGTTGGTTGCGTGGGTAAGCCTAACGCAACCCATGACACTAGCAAACCAGAACCTTGCCTTAGTGTGTAATTTAGGATAAAGATATGTATTTATAAGGCATAAGGTCACAATAGATAGGAAAATGGAGATGTGAGAATCATTAGAATTCAAAGTGAAAATTAGAAATTGGAAACTGTAGGCCTAGTCGGTAAGAGGCGGGGAGCATTATCCTCAGTATCGCCCGTCTTTTCACCAAAACAGGTCAGTGCCCTTCATCGTGCTTTATTCAGCCCCAAAAAGACTTATCTAGCAGTTTTTACATCTTAAAACCTTGCTTGATGTTATAAAGTGAAGTCATAGTGTACTAGTGTATGGTGATGAAAGCCCCTCAGGCATTACTCTGAGTATCGCCCGTCTTTTCACCGAAACAGGTACCAGGGCGTGCATTCAGAGCGTCAGCCATGACCTCAACTGTGAGGGACGCGCCATGTGGGGTGCGTCTGCTCACAGTGGTCATGCACCTCCACTGTGAATCTGTGGATACCCTACATATCAGCACCCAGGATAGGAGAAAATCACTGTATACTTGAGAAGTTTTGCGGTCGCTACGTGGAGCGACTTCCTAATACCAGGCGTGGAACCAATACTGGTATGATTACCTGGGAAGTATCCCATCTGCTTATCAAGAGAAGTGTAATGAAAATAATAGTTGTTCTCCTGATGAAGACCAACTCTTTTTGTAATGTAACAGGTGATGTTATACTGATGTGTTTGGTGTCATTGTAAGAATGAATGACCGAGGTAAGGAGATCAGTAATTGTTATGAGGAATGAGTATGTTAATGACACGCAATTAATGTAAGACGTATGTTGTTGGGCCATGTAACTAAAATCATAGTTGTTCTTCTGAGGAAGGCCAACTCTTCTTGTATTTTGACGGGATGCAATATGTTTTACAAGGAATAAATTAGGTAAGATATGCTTGTTGTTTCACCCTTCTCCCCACTATCGATTTGGTCAATGAAAAACCCAACCCAATGCCTAGCTTACTCTGCCCGCTACCTAACGAGCTACACACTGTCCAGAGGGGGTCTGGTGGCAGCGACCTTAAAATTAAGAATAGTTAAGTTATCCCCTTAGAATTAGTGACCCCAGAATCTGGCAGTATATACTCCTACTAGGATATTTCGTGTGTCGTTACGTAATTCAATGAAAACACTCTCCATGTACTCCTCCTGAACCTTTAAATCATCTCTTACAGAAGTGTTATACTTGATATCAACATATAGGGCGACACCACCACTGTGTCGTGACGTGTTGACGCAGTGTCTATTATAATCAGGAATGTTATACAAATGGTCAATATTGTTAGTGAGTTTGGTCTCACAGAACCCAAGTTCATCAAATTTGAGGGCAATAGAAGATAAACACTGATCTAAAAAGGTATCTAGATGAAGGGGAATAATGTTGATGTTATGGCTAATCAAGGAGAAGGAATGAGGTAGTAGGAGACAGTAACTAAACTCGGGAGAGTCAGGAAAGTAATAGTTACAGTTTGGGTTAGTGTAACCCAGTGAGTTTGTAGAAAAGCATCAGGATCGATATGAGGGAGTATTGTGTCGACACCATGGGTAAAGGGGGTGTAACATACGATCTAGCTCATCTAAGGGAATGACTCTAGCATCATCATTGTGGGAACATTGATACTGATTAAGGAACAGTAAAAACTCAGGGTCACTGAGGTGTGAAAAAGGAAGATCTAAGAACATTATAATAGTGGGGAGGGGGGGTAACGTACTCACAAGTGCTACAATCAACAGAATTAGGATGACCGGTACTGTTGAGGGTGGAGAGGATAAAAGAAAAAGAAAAGTAACAGAGACGTGACCGATCGCCCAAGCGGCGAACGAGCCGATTAGTGGTGAAGAGGATAAACGTAAAAGTAACACTGGAGCAGGTTCAGGTACATTCAGGAGCCGGTGCATGCCCAGTACCTGCCAACAGTGCGTAAAGGAGAGCCAGTACATGACTAGCTTCAAACATAGGAATAGCTTCAAACATAGAATAGCTTCAAACATACGAATAGCTTCAAACATAGGTCGAATAGCTTCAAACATAGGTTGAATAGCTTCAAACATAGGTTGGATGCTTATATGAGCAATAGGGGTTGGGTGTAAACGGGACCGCCCAGTATGGGCCAATAGGCCCGCTGCAGTTTCCTCCATTCTTATGTTCCTATGTTCTTATGACTAGTACTTACGTGACAGAGACGTCACCGATCGCCCAAGCGGCCAACGAGCCGATCAGTGGTGAAGAGGATAAGTGGAAGGATCCTCCTCTGGTATCACGAGATCCTATTTTATTACTTAAGTTTTTGATGGTATATGAATGTAGTGCATCTTTCGTTCATATTAGGAACAATAATCATCCCATGGATTGAAAAAGCAATATACAGGTGTTTAAGTGCAAGCGGCCAACGAGCCGATCAGTGGTGAAGAGGATAAAAGAAAAGGAAAAGTAAAAGAGTCAACATGTATCATTGAAAGCAAGTCTGATTAAGTAAATAAATTCTATAAACCTTAGTGATGGTCAGTACAAAATTGATATGTTACATAAATCTATTTGTCAGTGGCCCAAGGTTGAAAATGCTTTGAAAGCATTTGAGGTAGATGTAAGGTAGATGATTAGTGAGTCTCAAGTTTTTAACCTGACTCATTTTTTAAAGCTCTTCTTTCGTGTGCGGTGGAGGAGGTGGTGTGTGGATTAGTGGATCCCATGTTATTGACATGACCTGATGTCATATAAGGTCACCCTTTGTATATAAGCCTCTCTCAGGCCCTGTAAATTCAGTTGCCTCTGAAGATGTTTTGAATAAAGACGAAAGTTAAGGCGCTCCAGTGTTTCCCTTTTCCTGTGTAGATTTATCGATATTATCTTTATTACATGTATATGTGTAATTTAATTTTAACTCCTGTTGGTGTCTCTTCTAGCGATATATTCTCCAAAATAACCGCAATTAAAAGTATTCCTCGAGTGACATGCGCTGAGCTGACGTAAATATTCGTGCTTTAAGCTATAAAATATATAAGATTATTAGTTTAATTGTAGTTTTGTTATTTAAATATATTAAAGAAAAATAAGTAAAAGTATTAAATATATATTAAAATTAACATATGAATAATATGGAAGTATTGTGAAACAGAATCTGACAGTAATATGTTAAAGCATGTAAGCCGTCCACTGGTAGACGGATCCTCTGGTTGTTTGGGATAATATCTGAGGAGACTACTGCTGCTTTATAAGAGCAGTATTGCCTTGTGTTCACAGCCAGTTCATTCATCTACTGTTCGCTGGTGAGTTATAAGGTCGATTAAAGTATAAAAACGTTTATCAAGGTTTTCAAACGGTAAAATAAAGAAGATAAAACAAGAACTTTATTTGAGGTTTTTATTGTGTTGACGTGACAGTGTTGCTGAAGAGGACACACTTATAACATGGTGTGTGTCATGGTTTAATGTTGTGTATATAAAGCATATGTGTACGGATTCATTAAGTGAAAGAAAAGACAAATTCACTATATATCTATTAAATGAGGTGTTCAATTATTAACAGGGCAGTAATTAACATGCTGTCCGACTAATTACCCAAATGTAGCTGCAATAAAGTCAAATAATGGTCCTACATGAATAAATCGGACTGCCAATCACTTCTCGACTGGTATTTGGTGTCACAAAGTCACAAAAAATTGGAAAACGTAATTTAATCTGAGTTAATAGATCAAGTGCATGTACCTAACCTAACCTAACCTCGACTAGTATTTAGTGTCACAAAGTAAAAAAAATTGGCAAACATAATTTAATCTGAGTTAATAGATCAAGTGCATGTACCTAACCTAACCTCGACTAGTATTTGGTGTCACGAAGTCACAAAAAATTTGTAAATTTAATTTAATCTGAGTTGTGTTGTGTTAGGTTAGGTACATGCACTTGATCTATTAACTCAGATTAAATTAAGTTTACCAATTTTTGGTGACTTTGTGACACCAAATACTAGTCGAGGTTAGGTTAGGTACATGCACTCGATCTATTAACTCAGATTAAATTATGTTTGCCAATTTTTTTTTACTTTGTGACCCCAAATACCAGTCGAGAAGTGATTGGCAGTCCGATTTATTCATGTAGGACCATTATTTGACTTCATTGCGGCTACATTTGGGTAATTACTCGCTCCCTCGGTACATGCACGCGATCTATTAACTCAAATTAAATTACGTTTTCCAATTTTTTTTTACTTTGTGACCCCAAATACCAGTCGAGAAGTGATTGGCAGTCCGATTTATTCATGTAGGACCATTATTTGACTTCATTGCGGCTACATTTGGGTAATTACTCGCTCCCTCAGTACATGCACGCGATCTATTAACTCAAATTAAATTACGTTTACCAATTTTTTGTGACTTCGTGACACCAAATACCAGTCGAGAAGTGATTGGCAGTCCGATTTATTCATGTAGGACCATTATTTGACTTCATTGCAGCTACATTTGGGTAATTAGTCGGACCCATTACATGTGTTAGGTTCAGTCTCTCATTCATTGCCATGTGCATGGTCATTGAATATGTGCAGTCTTCAATTTTTCGGGTGGGTAAAGGTGGAGGAAACGGTTATCACCAGAAGTAACTTATGGAATTGGTCCAAAATTTTCAGAGATGTTATTTGCATGACCCTTATATAAGAAAATCGATACAACAATGCACAGAAACATTCAGGGTTAGTATTTGGTTGTTGCCAACAACTACTTATATATTCAGTTTTAGGTATTATTTTACCTTAGGAAATAACACGCCCAAAAGTTATAAACTGCTGGAACATTTAGATCTCGCTATTCTGAGTATTTTTAACCCCATATAGGTAAAGGTGTAGATAACGGCTACCACCAGAAGGAATTGTCCGACTTGGTTGAAAATTTTTCTACACACTAATATTATATTAAACACCAAAATGGAAACGACAATGCATAGAACCTAATAGTACCTAACCTAACATACCCATAGGTTGGGTATGTTAGTTCAGGTTCTATGCATTATCGCATTAATTTATATGTTAAACAACTTACCTTAATATTGAGGTTGATATTCATCAGCTATGGCGAGGAGGAATACATGGAAGCGTTCACCTTCATTTATAGGAAACGTCTCTTGAAGAGGGATTCAGCGAGGTAAACAACAAAAATGGCGCCGGGAGGAGAATTGTGAAGCGGGATAGAGTAAATAAAAAATAATTAAAGTCATAATAGAAAGTTGTCGTTTCTTTTAATATAGTTAAAATCATCAAAACAATAAGTACAGTAAAAATAAAGAAAATCAACAAACGACTTCTGGTGGTACCGTTATATTTACTTTTACCCCCATATATACATGGCGGAAATGGTTTATAGGGACACAATTGAATTTAATTGATTTTACATAGTTTTCAGTCTTTGAGGAGATTTATCGGCACATCAAGCATGCGCAATAGACTGACGTCATCCAGTCGTGACCAATGATGTATCGATATCATGTGAATTTTTTTCGACCAATCACATTTGATTTTCTTAAAAGGAAGCAGCCTAGGTAATTTCATTGACCAGTCTCGGCTAGGGGTTAGGTTAGGTCAGATAACTCGTTTTCGTTTTCTCCTCCGCCCAAAAACTTTGATTTCCCAGGCTCTTCCCTATTGTTGTTGTTGGGGGGGGGGGGCAAAATGAGCCATTTTCGCCAAAAATGAAGGTCAGCTTCATTTAAAATACACTGGAAAAAGATATATTGGTCAACCCCCAGGGACTTATGTTCTAAAGTAAAAATTTACCCAGTTTTAAATAGGGAGAAAGAAAAAACAATATTTATTCTATAGCATTTCCGTTGGAAATTTATATTTTTCTAGTATTTTAACCAATAAAATTACCAACAATATTAGCTGTTCAAATTGGGGGCTAATATATGGCTCGTGACCATCAGCAGTATGGTAATTATGGGGCGTGTTTTTAGACAAAGTTTTTTCACTGATTACTTTCACCTCTATTCATTTTCTTGGGCAAATGCTTAGTTTTCTAGATACTTTATAGGTGAGTTGAGATAGCATTCTTACACTTGCATCATCGGGTGTGATGTGGCACATGTAACAATGTACCGTGAGGGCAAATACACGAGATGTGGCCATCAGCGATTTGATAATTACGTATGAGTGTTTTTAGACAGTTTAGTTCGCTGATTACTTTCAATTCTAATAATTCTCATGTGTAAATGCTGAGTATAGGCGAGTTAAGATGTAGGTTAGGTTAAGTTAACTTAACTTTGTTTGGTTAGCACATGATTTTAGCTATTTTTATATATTTTTTCAAACATAATACAGTATCCTCTAATAAAATCAGTGAAAACTGGATCATTTTAAACCCATTCTCATTGAAAAACAGCAGATGGTCACAATCCAAATAATTAACAAAGTAGGCTGGGCTTTGAAGCAGAGGGAATATGTTGGATAAAATACTAAAAACTTAAAATGAACACCAAACAAACTTTGAAAAACCTTACCTACCCTTTCCTAACTTCTAAAAAGGTTAAGAATCACTTTAGAGTTTATGGGTCTTTCCTCATCTGAACACTGAAAACAATTCCTTCACTACTAAAATCCGAAAACATTAAGAATGTAAGCTTTTTATAGTTTTATGATTTTTATAGGTTAGGTAAGCTTTTCAAAAGTTTGTTTGGTGTTTTTTTTTTACCCCACTTTTTCCCTCTACTTCAAAGTAATATTGTTGGTAATTTCATTGGTTGTATTCGACAAGTAGAACTTTCCAACGGAAACACTAAAGAATACATTTTTTATTTTCTCCTTTCCCTCTATATAAGAGTCAATATACAGTATAAGTAGGTGCTGGCAACTACTAAATATTTACCCCTAACAGAACCTGACCTACCCTAACCAAACTTACCTACCTAAACCTAATTTCCTAACCGCTTAAAAAGTTTTTTAGCTCTATGAACCTGTAGATGGTCACCAATATTCCCCCTAATCCGTTTTATGGCAGGATGTTGTGTTCTGGCTGAATAAAATCATCTGGCATTTGTCAGAATAAAATGCTCTCCTTGAAACAAGCATCTCATGGTTTTCTCAGCTGTCCTTGGTCAAATTGACTGAATGTTAACCTCACTTGATATAACGTAAAATATATAGTACTGTACAGTTGTACCCCACTTAACGCGGTCAATAGAACCCAGAGGGTCCCGTGTTAAGTGAAATCCGCGTTAAGTGAACAACAGAACATATGGGATTAATTCCAATAGAAACCGGCCCGACCCCCAAACTCCACTTTTTGAAGGCACATACCTATGTTGTAGTAAAAATAACATCTTAATTTTATGATGGTACATGCACACAATTAATACTTAAGAGAAATAGAGAAATACAGTCGCCAAGTTAATGTCCATTCAAATAATGGACTCAACTCCCTCCCCCTCTCACACTACACTGCCGGCTCTTCCCTCTCAGAGAAATTTTTGGGGGAAAACCACTAAATTTTAATAAATAATACCTCAAACTAAAGTTAGGATAATACAATTGACATTGCTGGATTCCTTGTAAGACCAGGAATATTTTGAATATAAATGTCATATATTTTGCACAAAAGATAACATAGTTACCTAGAGAAAAATTTTTATCTAAAATTTGTATGTTTAATGCAAAATATATGATGTTTATATTCAAAATGATCACCAAATTGTAAGAATTCCAGCAATGTAAATTATATTCTGACCGGGTAATTTGTATGAATTTTATGAGCTAAAACAAATATCTTCAGTTAATAAAAAAAAAATAATCTTCAGGACACTATCTGTCAATCAAAGTACCCCACCTTGCCTTCCCCCCCTCTTCCAACCGCGTGGTCAGTCCCAACCCTCCCCCCCACCCCCCACCAATCCTCCCTTCAAGAGTTTTTAACATTTAGTATTAAATAATACCTCAGATTAAAGTTAGGATAATATAATTGACATTGCTGGATTCCTTGTAAGACCAGGAATATTTTGAATATAAATGTCATATATTTTGCACAAAAGATAACATAGTTACTCTGAGAAATATTTTTATCTAAAATTTGTATGTCTAATGCAAAATATATGATGTTTATATTCAAAATGATCATCAAATTATAAGAATTCCAGCAATGTAAATTATATTCAGACCGGGTAATTTGTATGAATTTTATGAGCTAAAACAAATATCTTCAGTTAATAAAAAAAAAAAAAATTCTTCACGGGTAACAGATGGTCGGTCGGTCCCTCCCTCCCCCCCACCCCCCACCAACCGTCCCAAGGAGATGTGTGGGAAAACCAGAATACTTAACTTATTTGTAATAAATAATACCTCAAACTAAAGTTAGGATAATATAATTGACATTGCTGGATTCCTTGTAAGACCAGGAATATTTTGAATATAAATGTCATATATTCTGCACAAAAGATAACATAGTTACTCTGAGAAAATTTTTTATCTAAAATTTGTATGTCTAATGCAAAATATATGATGTTTTTATTCAAAATGATCACCAAATTATAAGAATTCCAGCAATGTAAATTATATTCTGACCGGGCAATTTGTATGAATTTTATGAGCTAAAACAGGCAGTCAGGCAGGGTGGCGGGTGGGGCAAATCTAAAAATAGCGTCTCGAGCCGGACACTCACCGCGTATATGTGGAAAAAATCCGTGTTAAGTGAAAGTTCAGCTCTGGCGAGGCACCGCGTATATGATAAAACGCGTTAAGTGAAACCGCGTTAGGCGGGGTAATACTGTACAGTAGTCTGAGAGTTAAAGTTCAAGCTGAGATTTATGCAGTTCTACAGTATAGCTAGCTATTGACAGCTTGTAGACAGTTCCAGTAATCAAAGTTTTCTTGGTATCAAAATGTTGCCCTAACTATGTAGTTTTCATATGTGAGAATCATTTGCTAGTTTAAAGTGTAAGCAATAAATAGAAGTCAGAAATCAAAATCCATCTTTTTCAAACAATTTCAAATGTTGCAAAACTTTCTCTGGCAGGCGAGTACCCAAGTACAATACATAGAGTAATATAATAAGTGAAAAATATTAGAAATTTGTCTCTCTTGAACATTTAGAAACAATCTGGGGTGCTTCTTATATTCTATACTTTATATTGTAATACAGTGACCCCTCGGTTAACGAACTCAATCCGTTCCAGAAGGTCGTTCGTTAACCGAAACCATTGTTTCAATTTGGTTTTTGGGTAATTGGTTCCAGCTCACCGAAAATTGCCTAAATTCAACAAAAATGGTAGAAAAGTTCACTTACTTTGAGGTGTGTATGTAGAAGGCTCCTGGATGATGATGATGGGAATTAGAATGGGGGTGGAGGAAGAAGAGAAGGCATTGGGGTGGAAGAGAAGTCACCCCATGGCACCATTTCACCCATAAAATTTTAGTTCTCTTGGTGTATTTCAAGATTATTTTCTTTAAATCAACACTGCACTGCATTATATATTGTCAATATGTAAAATATATTTCAAAATGACCAATAATTTGCTTGGAAACACAGAAAAAAAGCGTTTAGTTGAAGAGAGTCTCAAGCAAGATGTTACCTCCAGTGAAAACAGAGAGAGACTAATGCCTGTTTGCTGTGTTAAGAGGCTGGATGCCGCGCATTAAACTAGTCACTTTACCTTCAATTATGCTCAATAATTGTTAAAATGACTAAAAAATTGAATATTAAACTTTTAAAATTATTGAATAGTATAAACTTCTTGATATTTACTAAAATAGTAAGGAATTTAAGCCCTAGAACCGATTAATGTATTGGCGGACTGATACTAAAGCTGGTTGCCTGGTCAGTGCAAGCGAAAACATGTTGAGGTCGGTTCGTAAGAAATTCGTAAACCGAATTTTTGTTTGTTAACCGCATTTTTGTTTGTTAACCGAATTGAAGATCCTTATGGAAGGCAGTTCGTTAACCGAAATTTCGTTAACCGAGGCGTTCGTTAAACGAGGGGTCACTGTACAGTCATGCTCCGGTTAACGTCCGATCGCATATACGTCCGTGCCCCTCCCCCTCAAACCCCCCCCCCAAAAAAAAAAATCCGTGACGCCTGCTGGACCACCACTCCACGACCCCCTGACGGAGACACGATGATCCTCCCCATACTGGTCAGATATTATGTGTTAAAGGAATATGCTTCCTATCTTAGGCTATTTTTAAACATTTGCCTCCAGGTGTAATGTTAACCTACATCTATTGAGGATAAAATCTTTCACCTACAAATTGACAATCACACATTTGCTGTAATCAGACATATCTAGTTGCCTCAACAATTGCAACCCCAGTTGCAATTGGGGTTGCAATTTCAAATTCTGTGGCATTACTAAGTATAGTGAAGTCTCTGGTGCACTCTAAGATTAAGAGAGAAAACGGAGGACTCAGGTGTCCTGATGTGAGAGAAAACGGACTTGTATGACGGGGGACCAAATAAAAAAAGCATAGCTACATGTTTTGTGGACTGCAGTATTAAGCGTACCCTTTTCATCACTTTGTAATACACCTAGCCATGCCTATGTGTGTTTATGATATTTACCATAACATTATATATATATTTAGTGGGTATAAATGGTCGTAAAATGGGAAACTTGGGGTTGGGTCTTGGGTGCCTGGAACCAATTAGAATAAATCCCATTGGTTCTGTACTTTCGTTATCGGCGGGGTCCCAATTAGGCGCTATAACCAAGGGATGACTGTACTGTTCTGTATATACTTGTGACACTGGCCAGTTGCTTCTGGTGTTATGGTACAGGGGTACCAAGTGACAGCACTAGGATCCTGCTTCCTCTATCAAGGAATAAACAATTAAAATTTAAATTGAAAAAAAAAACATTCAAACAATGGGACCTAGAGAACCTAATTGGCCCTAGAGCGGGCACAGTCACGTATGCATCGCGTATTCTTATAGATTGTGCTGCCAGGCGTACGATATCTAGTGAATTTAGTCAATATTGTACAGTAACAATGGACCTAAGTGCAAACCTGTATTTTACATGTACTAAATGATTACGGAACTAAAATTGTTATGTCTTTTGCAAATATAGCTTGTTTATACAGGTATTCAAATAAATTACTATCTTACAAGAATCCCTCCAATGTAAGTTATATTCACCCAGGTCGTTTGGGTGGCAAATTATGAGAAGAGCTTTGTCACTCTTAAGTACACTGTACTGTACAAACAAGCCTCAGGAACGTAACTCGTTGGTAAGTAGAGGAGCACCTGTATACCTTTTATGTGTTTGGCCTTAGGACAATTATTTCTTTTACTTTTTTCACAATATTTATGTAGGATGGTGTGTGCGTGTATATCAGTAAAAATAATGAAGAAGGTTACGTATATCTACCCGAAAATACGAGATGAAAAATAATAGCTTGGCCCAGTAGCCTGGTGGTTACAGAGACGAGTCTATCCTGGTTACAATGCCGTCAGTGATGTTAACAGATGTAAATGTGAAAAGAAAGTTATTTGTAAATCTTAATTTGTAACAGGTATTTATAGATTGATAAATAAATGTTACAGGTATGACCTTAATAGAGTGTAATGCTTGTAAGAGTTCAGAAATGGTTACTGCTTAGCTACCTCTGAAGAGTTGGGTGTTTGCCTTACAGGTGCTAATCGTAAGCAATAACATATTTTTAATTCTGGATTTGGGTGAGGTAGAATTTAGCATACCGGAGACAGCAATGGGGGGGATTCATTAACTTGCGGGAGACCTCAACTTCACATATAGGATGCAGGATGATTTTTTAGCCATTTTTCAGACAAAAAAAGTGCGTCTTATATGTTGATCAGCCTGTGGTTTTCTGCTGCAACTTTCCTACTTTTCTTGTATTGTACTGGGGTGATGTTGGCTAATTTTCTCTCTCTCTCTCATATGAAAGCCTTACAATTACTTTTCTGTATTCATCTTAAGCATTTATGTGAACTGATTTTGGGTTGTGAATGTATTGTACTTTGAATTTATTTCTTCTTCAGATAATAATTGTTTAAAAAAAACCCGGAAGATTTTCATGAAGGTTTTATTACAAGGATTAGGTGTGGACCTCATGAGGATGTGTTTGCTGTGACGAGGGTGTGACTGCTGCCAAGGTGTTGTGGCGGAGGTGATGATAGTACTGTTGACGGGGACTGCAGTAGGATGGAGGAGGAGGGCAGTGTGCAGTTTATACAACAGAAAAACAATGTTCCCACCTGCTGTACATTCCATCCAAAGGTGAGCAGCAGACACATAAAGTGTACCTTTGCAGTACAGTAATTGTATTACTCAACTGTGAGTAGCTTCCTTATTTTCAGATTCATTTTCTTTATTATATACGTAACAGAAGTGCTCTTAAAGAACCATACTCTACTATACAGTATACACAAGGAATTTGTACTGCTCTCATATCTGGGGGGGTTCTTCTGCCTAACTGTTAGATTGAGTGGAATCGAAGGCATTTCGTCTTATTAACTCTCCTCCTTTTGTCAATAATCTTTCTTCCCTTTCTCTTCACCTCAATGTTTCTTCACTCTTTTACGGGTACTTTAACGGGCGATGTTCGGTGGATTTGATATTCTGTGTACCGCTGGCAAGGCAGTGGGCTCGTAACACTCGTCTTGCCTGCGGTGCCCGCTGTTTCTGTGTGGATGTCGGTCACACTAGAATAACCCGTTACAGTACGTCCTTCTTTCCTCACACAGCCAAACTGTGGAATAATTTGCTTTCTTCTGTGTTTCCATCATCTTACAATCTGTCTCACTTCAAAAAGCTGGTTTTCTGTCTACTTTGTGGTGTAGATTAACATACTCTTTTTCTCTAATTTTTTTTTTCATACCCCCCCAGGCCCTGTTGTGGGTCGATGACCTGACCCGAGTGGGCTATTCTCCATAAAAAAGTTTTATATTTTATTCTTATTGTTTGTGAATCAGAAATATTGTTTCAAGGTCATATAAATATTTAATGGGTAGTAAAGCTCTTTATTTGTATATAATTTTCTTGCAAATTTGATTATTCAATCTTCAATTGCAGGATCGATATGCATTCGCATTTGGTGGAAGTGAAGGAGAGATAACATTAGTCAATGCTCTGCGAGGGGAGATAGTGCGTTCAGTTCCACTTGGCTCTCTTAGTCTTGCACGAGCCATCAACGCTCTCAATTTCACTCCAGACGGCTCTAAGGTAAGACCAAATTATACAATTTTAATTTAATTGGCTGTCTTGTATTGGTTTTGGTTTAGATGTGATACTGTACAGTATACTATGCAGTACTGTAATGTAGTATAATTTTAGCTACAGTATCATGAAACAAATTTAGATTGAAAATTAAATATGTGTCCTGTTCCCCCAAATATGCCATTTTAATGCAGGACATGATTTCAGAGACATTATGTAACCAGAGTACATGCGCTGTGTAGGTGATTACTTCTAATGTACAGTGACAGATTTATAAAGCCAGTCTACTTTTAACCTTTTCTCTGTGGCCTTTATATAGCACAGTACAGCTACTCCTCGACTTACGACCTACTCGACTTATGACCACCCGGACATACGACCTCCAAAGTCGTACCAAAATTTTGTCAAATTACGTATTTTCGAGTCCCGACTTTAGTGATTGCGCTGTGTACTGACAAAATTTCGTTTGTAATTCACTTTAAAATGGCTGGCAAGCTTAAAAGTGAGAATTTTGTGGTGCTGAGAAGAAAGAGACACCCATTTTAGATTTTCTATGTACGTAATATTTAAGTATTTTTGACTTACGACCAATTCGACTTACGACCTGGATTTGGGTCCCTAACCCCGTCGTAAGTCGAGGAGCAGCTGTCTGTGGTAACACGTATTTTTATTTCGTTCACTGCGGCAGATGAATGTACAGTGATAATGGTGACTGACATTTCACGATGTTAACTATTTCCACTTTCTGTGCATTAATCTCTCAGTATGTCAGAGAAGCCTGTACAAGAGCATCACAATGTCACAGAAGTGGCTGAGAATCCAGAGGAATTTATGGACTGTATTTACAGTACAGGGAGTTCTGCTATAACGCGTGTTTTGACAACGCGAATTGGCTCTAACGCGATTTATGAATAGAGGAATGATATTTGTATAACGCGAACGCTTGTTTGCTGTAACGCGATTTTTGCTTACTATTTCTCCAATTTTGTGGTATTAACTGTGAATATAGTAAAGAAGAATATCTCCAAGAAGTGTTCTGGTGATCGCATTCCCGGTGATGATCGTAAAAGAAAGGCTATAACCCTTGAAGAGAAGCTCGATGTTATCTACCTCAAAATCACCCTTCTCCCCATCAAATTATATTCATATTTTTTCAAGGTAAAGTGTTACATCTACTGTATGATTTCATTATTAGATGTGAATGTAACATTTATTTAGACTGCTATCCTTTGTGTTAGGCTAACTACTAAATTTTTTTCGATTTCGAGTAGTAATCTGCACCTAACCCTATTTTCTCCATAAGCCCCGTTATTTCTATTACGCCAATTTCTATAACACGATGTTTTACAAGAACACAACTATCGCGTTATAGCAGAACTGACTGTACTGGATAGCATTGGCTGATGAGTTGAGTGACATTACATGTGAACTACATGCAGAAGAGAAGAATAAATATGTGAAAAAATGCACTAGAAAATGAAAAACACAATGGAGTATGCTTGTGCTTAGCAGTGTTGACAAATTGACACCAGCAGATGACACATGCTCTGTACCGCAGCAGGACACAGTTCACCTGAAAGAGTGCATCACGGCAATGGTGGCCTCCTTAACCCCCAAGATGTTGAAATTGTGTGGAGGGATTTAATTTGTAATAAATAAATTTAAGATTATATTACAATTGTATTATAACTATTAATTGTATGAAACAACACTGACTCTGTCAATGTAGAATATGAACTTAATAATTTGATTGACACACATGTCAATTTATGGCGGAGAGAGCTGTTTGCTCCATTAAGAAGGCAGAGCTACTCACACCACCGAGAAGGACAAACCTACTCACTGCCTTTATAATTTACATTTGATGCAGTTATCAACGTGTACTGTAGTTACAACTCAACTCTGGCAGAACCTCAATTGAACTACTGTACACTACATAACAAACTCATAACCCCTTCCTGTTAGAAATATCAGCTAAGGATCGAGTAGTTATGTTTTGAGAAAGGTTGATTCAGGCAGAATTGGGGTGGAGGTAAGCCTCCTATAACACAATTTAATTTAATGTCACTTTTTTTTTTTTACATCATTTAAGATATTGTAATGTAAATACTGTATATCACATTACAAGCTTAGATGTAGGTTCACTCTTAATCTCATATGGGAAAAATGGATGAGCAGAACTGGAACTGGTACCAACTGCCCTGTCAAATATCATCTGATTTCACACTAAGGAGGAAATTCTGTTTTATATGCTTAAAAAAAGAATTACAGGAATATTTATTTCGGTATTAGATAGAGCTCTCTGCTGCTGGAGTTAACAGGTCAGCACATACAGTAATATATTCTATTGAGAGGATGTTAGGTGCTTTTCTTTGTTACATTTAAGAATTTAGAGGAATCATTTAGGGTGTTTGTTAGTCACTTGATAGTGGATTGAATCATTTAGTGTGAGCAATTAGGTCGGCTAATATCCCGCATTTGGATTATGAGCCTCCATTCATGCTTCTTGACTGATCAGGATTTCCACATGAAAGGTAATTCCAACACTTAGGTCTTGTACCATTGCAGAAATGTCTTCCTACACCCCGTGTGGGAACCCGTGTCTCCCAACGGCACTGTCACAGTAGTAGTATCACTATTTATGAATGAATGGGTATTGGTAGTGTAACGACGGACGTGATTGGTAGAGAGGTTTACTATAGGTCATATAGGTTGGCTGTTGGAGACATGAGTTACCACGGGGTGGGGGAACACATTTCCGCAACTGTACCTGCAGGGAGCTGTTAAGGTTAAATGTCCCGGTTAATTGCTTATAAGTTGCATTCTCTTGACTCCATGATAATGACTTTTATAAAATATCTTGTGAATGTTGATTGCAAATACTGTACAGGTATCCCTCATTTAACAATTGCTCACTCTCAATTTTTTGGTTTAGTGACTAAAAAATTTACCACCTTTTCTCGTTTAAAAATCGTAAATTTTCAATTTAGTGATCTTTGACTTACTGGGAAAGATTCGGGAGAGAAACATGGCAAGCACAGTGAGCCCACCCAACTGGGGAGTTAATAGGCGGGGGAAGCCTCCCCCCCCCCCTTCCAAAAATGTGTGGAAATCTGACCAATACAGTGAAGCCTCAAATAACAACGGTAATGTGTCCTCCAATATTGCAGTGTAAAGTGAATCGTTGTATTGCGACTCATTAATTACCATTAAAATAAAGCAATAATAATGAGATACGTTCCCAAGTGTGACCTTTTCATATCTTTTGTGTGGCTTGTTTTCCCTCTTTTCCCAACAAAACAATATAATTAATGAAAATTGCAAACTATATTCTTTAAATAATGTTTCTGAATGCACTTTATATAATATACAGTGGTCCCTCGGCTAACGAACGGTTCGATTAACGAATTAGCTCCCATAAAGATTTTCAGTTCGATTAACGAACAAAACTTCGATTAACGAAATCCTTACAACAAACACTTTTTGTTGTGCGCATCAGCTGATCGGCCAGTCCGCCAATACAGTAATCAGTTCTATGTTTACATTCATTTCCAGTGGAGTAAATATCAAGATAGTTGGTCTCTTGAATGATTCTGCATTTTTTATATTAAAATTATTGGTCATTTTGAAATTTAGTTAACATATTGATAATGTACAGTGCAGAAGTTATTATGAAACACGAAGAAGGCATCAGAACCAATGCACTCTGCAAAGAATATGGCATGTCATCATCGACTGCCTCTACAATCGGCTGTTTGATGTAAACAAAGCCACTGGCAATACGACATACACACCTCAAAGTAAGTTAAAATACAGTAATCTATTGTTTGTTTTTTATTATTGTACAGTATACTGTACAGTACAGTACTGTATTTAGTTAATTCTATTACCGGTATACAGTACTTTGTATGTGTACTTTTTCTGTGAGTTGGAACCAATTACCTAATATCCCATTGAAATAACAGATTCGGTTAACGAAAGACTGTGGAATGAATTGTGTTCGTTAACCGAGGGACCACTGTAAATGAATAATTATATGGTCACACAAGAAGAGATGGGACGCCATTGTTTTCATTTGAGATTACAGCTGGGAGTCCGGGACAATAGTTCTACACGAGAAAATGAAGAAAATGAGACCCTGGTTGTAGCTGTAGTAAAATTAATGTAACAAAATTAATATACTGTGTATATGTTTTAAGTAATTTTATTTAATGTTAACAAATGGAACAATATAAGTAGCTAACCACTAATGGCAAAGAAAAAAAAGAGATGGATTGGGAACACCAACATATACGTACGTGCACATTTAAGGATACCGCGTTATTTATCTTTTTAAGAATATGTAAAAAAGATTCATTATTGTTTATTACTGAATATGTATTTGATTGAATTAATCTTTATATATGCGAAATGAACAATACAATTCATTAATAATACGTAGAATATTAAAACACACAAGAGGATAAGAGACGGCATTGTTGTCAGTGTTTACACCAGGGGTTCCCAAGCTTTTTCTAGCACGACCCCATCCAGTGTTGTCAACTATCCAGTGCGACCCCAAATCATTTCACTGGCAGACCCAAAGGACCCCAGCGACCCCACCGACCCCATGACCTCTTTGCGACCCTACCTAATGAGCCTTCCGACCCCAGGTTTGGGAACCCCTGGTTTACACCCATAATGTCAGTTATCCACCTGAAACTGAATAAAGTAAGACCCTGGTTGTTGTTGTAGTAAAATTAATGTAAAAAATATGTATGTTTTAATGAATGTTATTTAAAGAAAAAGTGAGACTGATAGTGGAATTCCCTTGAATACGTGCACACTCAAGGAAACATAGTCATTTATCTTAAGAATATGTACACTCGCAACAAAAAGTATCGGTGCATACTGTAGTGTGAACAATTTGAGACCAGTGACGATAGGTATTGGGAAAGGCGAGTTGTTCCAGCCATATGTCGGCAGCCCTGGTCAAGTGAAACAAACCATTATAAATAAGGTCGGGA